AGTGATATGATCCCAAGGTTCGCTCGATTTCCAATTTATTTTATCTCTCCACCAAGCAATCATTTTCTTGTCTGATATATTTATGGATCTGGCTTTTCTTTCTACAGAAGGCGTTAAAGATGTTGTAGCGGTGGGCGAAGAATATAAGATAACAGTAAACACGGCCTCGGGTGGCAAAGGTCGTCTCACTTGTCAGGTGGTTCAACAACCGGTTGGTCAATCAGCCGCGTCAGCCACCTTGTTGCCGGTGGAAACTGAAGACAACCGGGACGGGACCACAAGTGTATACTATACTCCCACTCAGTTGGGTCAGTTAGCCGTCGAACTACGCTATGGTGGGCAGCTGATACCAAACGGGGAATTCACGCAGAAAGTGAGTTCACTTCCGATTGCTTGATGAAATACACACGGTAACCGCATTCAGTAGGCTCGTTTCTTTATTTCCCTCCCTTCAATTGTTTAATTCAACGCAATGCAATAATGAACAGTACCCCTTTTGTTGCATACAATCCGTGGATCTCTTACCGAGTCGACGCATTGAGCAAAGTGAAGTGCATTGTGAAGTCTGGCTATGTGCTGGAGACGTTCGTTATTAAGATGGTTTTGGATGCACTAAATAGAGTACTACTTGATCCGGTCATTGATTCCATTTAGTGATCAAGCTATCAGGTCATTTCTTTAGTGCTCACAGTGACTTCAAAACCATCGACCGATGTTTTGCTTTGCGCGCATTGTGACTAGTTTTCGGCTGTCCGATTCTTGAGGGCAAATGGGGAAGCAGCTTATCCTCTTAAATTGGTCGAAATGCGCTTGTTACATCAACTTCAAAGCACAGTGTAGCTAAATCACTAGATTTTAGCACCTCCATTTTTGCACCCTAATGGTCCAGAGAGCGAGAGAGTTGTCAAATATCCTGCCAAAGCAGTTCTTCGGAATAATGTCACTTCATGAGAACATTGCACCAGCTCGTCGAGAGGCTCACATACAAAGTCTACTCACCTTTTTGATCAATTTTTGAATTATATATATATATATATGTATATAATAAACATATGTGTATATAAAATCATTGTATTTACAATGCCCATATCATAAATCACTCATTCGGGAGTTTTATCCAAAAGTTTGCCCCGGTGAATGATTTCTCGCGTTAAATATTGAATAATTGATTGTATGATTTTTGGGAGTAATCTGTGCTTAAACAAGAAAAAGTAAATTGTACTATTTAGTTTTGCCACCAGGCCTGGATAGGGGTGATTATAAAGACTACACAAACTATTCGTTAGAACCGTTTAGTCTTACCATTTCATTAGTTCAGATGTCGGTCGTCCTGCTGCTCACCTCAATCACAACTTTCTTTTATTTTCTTGAGCATTCATTTGGCAACGCTCCCAGCCTTCTACCTGTTACCTTTAATTCTTCATCCGAATGGCAACTAAAAGACAGCAAGCGACACCACCAAATCAAGAAAATAACGATTAGTGGTTGCATAAACTGAACTGGAATCAACTGAGGTAATCACACATTAAAACCTAGGATGCCGAGACACCGGCCGGAAGATAGTAACTGAACGGAACTGTACTCACAAGAAGCAGACCACGAGTTTCAACGGAGAAACTGGGATAGTATCTTGATGTGTTCATTTGGACGCAAGAGTGAGCAAGTGAAGTCGTCTTCGATGCTAATGTAGTCATCGTAAGCACTTTGGTTGCACCGCTGTTTCATTGGAATGGATGAGCATGTTGCGATGTCGCCAAGTTATCTTCTATTTACCTTTTGGTTCGTTATCAGTTTACTCTAATCTAAATTCTGTTGTATTTTTCGCTGTCCAACTCAGGTTGTTACTCGGGAAGAGTTTGAAGCGCTCTCGGTAAGTTTCATTCCCATATGCAAATATTATCCCACACAGCGTTCAGCGTGCTTTTGTAACTATTTTTCTTCACTATAAGGTTTACGCAATCTGGTCCCGTTTTCCATAAAATCGATGCTTATGTTTCACGTGACTAAATTTAATGAGTTTTTCATCTTCAATGCGATTCACGGTTTCGAGCAGCCCAATAAAATCTTCAGTCATGAGTGCGTTACATGTGGTTTGCCTAGATGGCACCAGGAAGTTTCAAGTATGGTGATCAATGATTAGGGATTTATATTTCTTTGAAATGTGATAACGAGTGTTGCCACAAAACATCGTGTTCGTCCCCGGTATTAAGAAACATTATCCTACACTTGCTGCTGTCTTCACCACTTGTTTCTCGCATCTATTCGGGGTGGTTATTGTAGACTACGGTCATTAAAAAATGAACTAACTATCCATGTTCAGTATTGATAAAACCTAAACTTTATCCTATTCTGGTTTCGCGTCACGGGCTAAAGATGTGCTCTTCCATAAGATCTATCTTGTTTTTCCTAACTGGTCAACAAACATAAGAATCGAATGTCCTACCTGACTCGTCTTAATCCTACTTAACTGCACGAGAAACAAATAAAATCAGTTTTGATGGCATCATCATCTTTCTTTAGCATTTACGATATTTTCAAAGAAACAAGCAGACACGATAGAACGGAAGATAGAGATCGGTCGAATTCTATCCTGCTCAACGCTGATTTACTCGAGGCCCTTAGCTAGATATCAGTCTACAACTTTCAATGCTCAACTTCCCGGCGAGAGAAAATTATTCTTGCACGGGACGAGTATGCTGAGTAATAGGGCATAGCCAAGAACCTCTCGCATGAAGTGACAAAATTTCCGATGCTATGGTTAGATAAATGAAAAAGAACGTTGTTTAAATGCAAATTATGGTCAATTGAAATCTTTCATCGTCGGTGTCTAAAACGAGCCAAAAGCGTCTTTTCTTTAAGGAACTCGGTCCCACCTGAAAGATATTTGTTCTTTAATAACAACTCATTTCCATAAGGTATTCATTTGAAATATTAGTCACTTTCATGATATTTTTCCAGTGAAAATTGTGGTCATTACATATCTTTCTGAATGTGCACAACCTATCCACATGAGAACAGCTGTAAGCTTTTTAGCGTTCAGGTTAATTGACAACCCGTTGTTTTTATTTTGTCATGTTGACGATCGCTGAATCGATTTCCGATCCGAATGCGAATTATCCTCGCCGCCACCCCCACACCTTTTCTTGTTACTGAAGTCGAACGGTTGACATCAGCTACTGTTGCTGTGATTGAGCATATTGCGCCTTCAGTTTAAGAAACAAGTGTGTAGTGACACGCCTGGAGGTATCTGTTTGGATCAGGTGACCTCAACATGGTTCACACGTACGTATGAAACATGTCATACCATCTGACCACAAATATTCGTCTGATAGGGTTTGAACGCAACGGCACCTCACGGTCTTGGTTACTAGTTTGAAAAGCTATCGTCTCAGCATGCTTGCCGCTTGCGGACTAGTGTTGTGCATGCACGCATGCATGCATATGCATAGACGAATATGATTGATTTGCGGTCTGTACAGGTGATTGACAACTCGTCATTTTCTAATTGTCTATCACCAACAGGTTACTGAACTCCATACGTCAGCTTACCAATCAGTTTCGAGTGTTTGATCTGTTGCCAAGTCAAGTGTTTGATGTTGCCTAATCCGCATTCCTATGCTTGCTTGCCTCGATCCCGTTGAGTAGAACTTCGATTCAGTTTTGTAGTGTGAAGTGGCGTCACTCATCCAAACACATTTACTTCCACATAAACCAAACGCACTTTCTAATCTTTTGACCCGTTCTGTTTTCACTGTGAGACAATGTTGCCTTTCAATGACCACGAACTCACTTGCCATACTTCGGAGATAAGTGATACAGAAAAGCATTTGGTAGAAACCAACGAAGCAATGCAATCTGCAGTCAACGAGTCACACGCACTCTTTGGTTGAAATGAATTGGTGATTTGAATAAGTACAACTTTTTCCGTTTTTTGTTGACGCAATTTGACGTCACCCATTTGCTACTTCAAAAGTTTCGCGAATAAGACTCTCAGGTAGGTAATTATACTTGATCCTGTTAAAGCAGATTGACTAGTTTTAGGTATCTTGTATAGATCATCTTTTGGTCTACTAAGTTTTCGATTTAAATGTGTTGCTGTTTTTTTTTAATTCTATCTGAGTATGTAGACTTAATGTTGCTGAGTGTTCCATGGTTGTTCTTCCCTCAAATCCACAGAAGCCAGTTGTTGTCTATCGTCCGGTGGAATTTCGTCTTCCCTCTCCCAGAGGTGATGTGGAAATTGAGAGTGAGTTTTATCCTTCGAATGATAATATACCTCGATTTTTTCAACTGATGACTTCTCTCTATTACTTTGACCACGGGTGGAGGTCACCGTTTGTTGTTTCCTTATTTGGAGGATGACGTTTTTTCACCATATTCGTTCGCTTCATTTATGTCTCCAATTCACAAAGCGGTTTACATCTGAATCAGACTGAGTTGTTTCAAGGTCCCCGGTCAACACAACACCGTCCATCAATCACCATACCGTAAGAACGCATGCCCTTCTATTCTGTTCGATTTCTAACGTTGATTGTTTGTGCCCCATGCGAAAATAAAGCATAAATCTCATCGCTGATTTCACTTGTACAATACGATTTGACCGTTTGACCCATATAACAACATATCCACGCACGCTCGTCTCCACTTTGATTCGTTCCAGTTTGTTGCTTCATCGTTTCTACATCCACTGTCTCCATGCTGAGAACCGGTGCAGCGAGATCATTGATTTGTGATGCGTAGTTTTTCATCTTTGTGCTTACCAGCCACGCATCTGGAGGAGGTTTGCTGGTCTTCGCTAATGACAGGACTAAGTGAATGACGAAAGTAATGTAATTCACCAGGCGAGACGAAAATGCACTCCGAGGGTAGTTTGAGTTGGGGAAAACCTTTGGCACGAATTCATGATAAATTGAAGAAATCCTAGTGTGCTGAAATACGAGTGTGCAATTAGCATGCATTTGGACTCGCTAGACCCTTGGTTTCATTAAACAGGATGTTGATTCGTGAAATTTTCTCACTTAACTTGCTGTAGGCATCCGAATTTCTCCAGTTCAGTCAGAGTAATAGTGTTGGGGCTCCACTCTTTGTTTGGGTAGCGATGGGAAGTATTCATACAATTATTCATCTAAATTGTGAGAAATTACTGCTTATTCCTGAGTATCTTTTTGTTTTGTAAATTGTGGCTTCTTTTAGTGTGATAGAATGTGTGGTGAACCAAGTATTATGGATGTTTTTTTAAATTGTCATACGGTGCGATGCAACTGTCACTGTCTCATTTAGATCACTAATCCTACTTGACTACATCACTGAGCTGACCTCGTCCGTCCTAAAGTGGCTGTATAAACATATATATATATATATATCTTTTTGTCGTTATTAAACTAGGCATTATGCTTGCAGCTTGACAACCAAAACTCCGTTTTCCTCGGTGCCAATATTTTCATCCAGGTATCGTCGTTCGCCCGTCCGGGGCTCAGCAGCACGTACCGCATACGGTGAACAACGATGATACCATTACCATAACATACGAACCGGTGGAGCAAGGCATGCATGAATTACATGTGAATACGTTCTCTGCCGTAAAATCTGGAAGTACTCGAGGCAGTACCGTAGCTATGCCTCTTCAAGGTAGTCCATATCGATTTTATGTGGATAACGTGGCTACTGGACGCGTAACCGCCTATGGTCCTGGCCTCAGCCATGGTCTGACCAATCAACCGGCCGAGTTCACCATTGTCACGAAGGAAGCCGGTGGAGGTGAGGTTGTTTTTTTTAGTTGATTCTAGTCATTGAAGACTGAAAAAGACAAACAATGTAATATTTTTTGGTCATCACAGTTAGTTGGGTTATCTAATACTCAATATTCCTCCTCCCCGTTTGCATTGTGTCAAGTTTTCAACTGTGTGATTACCCACTTGATCATGTCTCTTCATCTATATTGTCCTAGGTGGCCTGTCTTTATCGGTTGAGGGACCATCGAAGGCTGAGATCACGTGTAAAGAAAATGACGACGGAACATGCAGTGTTAGTTACTTGCCTCTAGCCCCGGGCCAGTACCACATCTCCATCAAATTTATGAATCAGCACATATCCGGGTCGCCTTTCATGGCCAAAATTACGGGTGAGTCACCAAGTTGTTATGCATATCCTCACCGTGGCAAATTTAAGCTAGGCAAACCCCAATCATCTTCCACTCATTTCCAATCACTCGGTGGGTAAGTAGCTGTCAAGTGACCTTTTACCGGTTTCCGTGATTTATATAAGCTATCGTGTTACATTTTATCCATAGGAAATACACAGGTATCCGGCCTAAGTTATGCGATTAGCACACAATTATAGCATCGGATCTTCGCAACATTTCGTTAAATTTTCTCTTGGTACACGTAAGCTGCGCTGGTCGCATTGTCGCGTTTAACAGTGAAACTCCTTTTTTGGTCGCAATTTACACGTGGTCCTGCTCAGTTTTCTCGAACTCTTCAAGCCACTGGTTCATATGCACTTTGTTTACTTTCACCGAAGTTTATGACCTTACTCTACGAGGCCTCCGGTTGGACACGAAATATGACAGACTTTTTGGTTATCGAGTCAGATATTCAGTTTCTCAACTGATCTACGTTACACTGAGATTTGTATTTCCTCTAACTGGTTTGGAACGATTTTGTTTCACTTGTTTAGAACGATTGTCCCTCTATCAATCCGGTGACAAATCATTCTAGTTTCCCATAGTCTACATTAAATTTCGGGCTCGTTCTGGTATTGTTTGTGGGTTCTGTGTAGTGGCAACATCTGTGCTAAACGAAAAGAGTATCGCTGTTAAATTATGGAGTTTTTCAACCAAGTTTGTCTATCTTTCTGTGTGTGCATTCCATCAACTGAGTTCTTTTCGTTACTGAATATTCCCTTGTTAAGATTCTTCTCCATTTTGCTACAATATTTATTAATGTACTAATAGTGATACATCTGATTGCTCGTAAAGTGGTCCAACGTTGTTTCCCTCTTGCCGTGCACAAAGTTGTTTGATGTGATGAAATTAGTAGTCTAACCTTTCTAACAAGTAAACACAAAGCACCGCAACTATTACATTTAGCTTTATGTCTATTCACTCAGTATGATCTCTGTATTCAGGTATTTGGTTTAAATTCCGCTAACATTTTCCGCATATCAGTATTATCCGAGTAATGATGATGATGAAACTTGCAGTAACGCATGTCTGCTAATGATAAACTGTGCACTTCATTCAAGTTGGACACTCGTATCTTAGGCCTGATAATATCATAAAAAGGTTCGCCAGGTACCGCTTCTACTAGCTTGACGTTTACATGTATACGCTGGTAACCAAAATATTGACTTCACACGGCTTCTTTGTGCACCCTGGATGGTTTCTCAAGACAAGTCTCATGAGGTCGATTTCGCATTTATGTACCGTCCTCAGCACATCGACACAGTGATTAGCACGTTGTCTATTTTCACTTTATCGGCTGATCATGACAGTGGTTGAAGACTTTTTGCTCTTAATGTGACGACTATCGCTTGAGTGTTTACTTTTGTTTGTGTTCTTCACTAAGGAGTGTAACAAGATTCTTGCACCGTATGTGCTTTTAATCGCCATCTGCCAAAACAGCCAGCCTAACTTATGTTATTCCGTGATTATTTGGTGGATAGTGATCGCTCAGACGCACAGTTTTCGACATCGTTTCAACGGTCTTTCCAGATGTTTAGCGGGTACAGGGAATACCTCTGGTAGGTAAAGTATTATTTGTAATTTTTGCCAACTTATGCCGTCGGTTCCAAAATTGAAAAGTTTATCTTTTTTCGAGCCTTAGCTTTGTTATCATGTTCTAGGTCCATTATGGTGTTCTGTCAAATAAAACCGATAGTATTCCTTGGTAGAAAAAAAGCGGATGCGTACTCATGTACATATGTTTAAGTGTTTGCATAACAGGCTTTCTAAATTGCTATTTTGCTTAGTTGCTCTGTGTTGCACTCGCCTCGCTTTGTTTCTGTTTGTCGTGAACACAACACGACAACACAGGCATATACATTTCAAGATTGGTCAAAGGTAGGTTCCCCTGGGTTATTGTTACCGCTCCGGTCACTGCGTCTGCTGCTACTATTATCACTACTACTACTACTGTCAACGCGATTCTCGTCATTGACGTAGTTGTCGTTATAGTTTGTGTGTGTGTGCGTGTGAATGTATATTTACTCTGTTGTCTCATTTCTGTTACTCGAGATAGCACCCTGTTCACCCATCGCCATAAGCACGCTTCCGCAAAATCCGATTTTCGTTCTTGCTGCGTATACGATTGACGCACCATGAGTTGTGTTAGTTTTCTGTTGTCTTTCTATGCATAGGTTGCTGGTGATTCATATACATACGAGTGATGTGTAACTTGTATCGTTTTATGTTCGATTCGGAAAATCCCAAACTGTCATCAAAATTCCGGTTAGATTTTGTTTGATACCGAATTGTTAGACAGTTTTCCGGGGTGTCCGAAACCACTGGTTCATATACTTCACCGGAATTTTCACTGCTCGCCAGATTATTTGTTTATGATCCATCTACGTACTACAATGATTGGCATTGTTTTCCTAGTATACCGCGATGCTTTGTTTTGTTGGTGGGGCACTTGGGTCGTACCCTTTCTCCTCTTTTTCCTTTGGCTGTATCGTTGTCATCAACTTCACCCGGTACCGTGTTCCTGTTTATACCAGGTGATGTTCTCAAGCGTGCCCAATTGAGCATGGGTGCACCCAGTGATATAGCCTTGGAGGCACTCGGAGACGATATCGCAACACTGACTGCATGCGTGCGCAGTGTATCCGGTCGCGAAGAGCCGTGTGTACTCAAACGTCTTCCTAATAATCGTCTTGGTGAGTTGCACTACTGGTCTCCTTAGTGTATGAGGTATGATGGAATAGTGTTGATAATAATCTGAACCCGTATGATGATCACGCTGTTTGATTTCCTTTTTGATTGACATAGGGATCACACTGTTATCAATGATGTTCATCCTGAACCGTTGTCTGGCTCCCATTTTATTCGCATGATTTTATATTATGCTCCTCATTTGTATTGATTTTACATTCCTCAGGTTTTGTAGTAGTTGTTCAATAGCAAATTATTTGGTCCTGTGATGCGAACTGTCGTCAACCGTAGTGTTCTCTATTTATCTAAGGAGCGCATGTATTCAAACAATGATACGCAGTACGAGTGATATTTCACAATTTGTGTTGACTGGTGGGTTACACGCCGCGATATCTTTATCACAATTGTATGGTCTCAATATCGTAGCTTAACGTATTTTCCTCTCTCCTTATTATCACTTGTATTCAGGCATCTCTTTCACCCCGAAAGAAGTTGGTGAGCATTTGATCAGCGTTTTCCAAGCCGGACAGCATATTGCAAACAGTCCGTTCCGCATTAGGATTTCCGAGAAAGAAATTGGTGACCCCCGCCGCGTGCGAGTCAGTGGCCCCGGACTGATTTCTGGATTTGCCAACCAACCGAATCAGTTCACAGTTGACACACGCGATGCCGGTCAGTTTTGAGTAGAATTCCTAACAATTTCATTTTCCATTTCATGTGCCAACTCTATTCTGTGCTCGGTCTGGTCTATTGCGATTTTCATCGTCTAAGTTGCATCAGTCACTCTGATTGACTGCAATTCCTTGTATGTAATACAACATGCTTTGTCAGCTAGGATACCCAAGGCTTTCCGGAAGTAAATGACAAAAGCATTGTATTTAGCTGCAAAGCTGAACTCGTAGCTACAGAAGGTCCTGCACCATTTTCGGGGTGACATTCCCGAAATAATTTGATTTTCAGCTCGAAAAGCTTCGATCTACCGCATTGTAACCAAACAGTAGCGAAAATCGTTATTTATTCTTGAAAATAGTATTTCCGTTTATCGTGATATCNGTGATATCAGATACTGAGAATCTAGAGTTCATAAGTTATTCATCTGATCTTTCTCACTATTTTCCCCAGGTTATGCCGGTCTCAGCTTATCTGTTGAAGGCCCAAGCAAAGCAGAAATAGAATGTCATGACAATCACGACGGCACCTGTTCAGTGATCTACACCCCGACCGAACCGGGTCCATATGTTATCAATGTAAAGTACGCAGATATGCATGTTCCGAACAGTCCTTTCTGTGTGGACATTGGAGGAGAAGCAACGACACGTGTCACAGAACGCATCACACGTCGTCGCGAAGCCTCATCCGTCACAAATGTGGGCAGTCGGTGCGAACTCAGTCTACGGGTAACCGGTAAGTTGTGTTCCATTCACATGTGGGTCATCTTTATTTTGAACACGGACACGATCGTCGGCACTGGTATTATTGTTATCAGTTCCCTCCACCGACACATTGAGATAATGAAGGCTGTCGAGATGTATGACCCATTCGGGTTTTTCACATTTACTTTTTATTGCTGGAGCTTGTTCACTACAGAGGATTTCCTCAAGAAAACTCAGACAGTATCACCATCCGTTTTTTAAATGTGTTTGACTCCGTCCAAAGGGCGTATGATCCGATGAACTGGACACTGTTCATTAATACATAGATTGCAGTTTTCAAATATCCACTGCTTTGTGCGTCAGGTTTTGGCTATCTGAAGGCTCCTGTTGTGAACTCCCCTCTACTCTCCTCGAGAAAATCGTAGAACTTTGTTCTGTTTATAAAGATTATTGTGCCGTACAGTACAATGATCTATATACAAAAGAAAAAGTTCCATGACTTGTTTGTGGGTACGATACTGCCAGATTGCCCAGGCCAAGGCAGATATCTTTTCTTAAGGAATTCACAACCGGAGCCTTCGGTCAACCAAAACCTGATCCCCAAAGCTGCCCGATGGTGTGTGAAAACCGCATTTCATTGGGGACCGGTGTTCAGTTCATCGGATCATACGCCCTCTGTACGGGGTCAAACGTTCAAGGTGCCCCATACAGCTCGACACTCAACCTAATCAGTGACCACCGTCAAAACCAGGAAGATTTGGGCGGGTGTGATTCCCTCGTCTCTTGGTTGGTTCGAAATCAGGGTTTTAGTCATATCCCCTAGGTGAACCGCCAGTGGTTCACCGGCCAGTTTGTAGCCCCATTTGTTGGTTTTTCGTCCTCTCTTTGTAGTGGGAAAACACCGCCACGGGAAGGTAGTGAGTAAGGTTTTCTATTCCGAGGCTGTTTGAAGCGGTTTAGCGTATAGGAGCACTTCTTTATCTGTAAGAGAAGGGTGGTCAGCCACATCCCGAGACACCCACCCCCAACTGAGGCTTTCGTAGGCTCCGGGCCTGAGTCATGGAGTAACTATTGGTTATCTGCTTCGTTGACAGTATAGTGAAACGGGTCATACTAAAGGATAACAGATGAGATCAGCAATAGAAATACTGATCGCCAGCTGATTTTGACGAGATTATACGGTCGTTTATACTGAGGTTAACTGTGACATCATGGTTGCTGCATTTAATTTCAATTTTTCATGCTGGCCAAAAGCATTTAACCTTTTACGTCGCGGTTTTCAGACACAATCCAACTGCCTTGCGGGCGTTCTTTGGTTTACCGAAGTCTCCGTTTGCGGATTCACCAAGAAAATTCAGTAGTTTTGTCCTGGATAATCCGGCAGCATTCCGCACAATAGCAAATCGTGACCCTAATTCAGTTTAGAGCTTATTATTCTTCACCGGTTGATCAGAACAAATTACCTAAGTTGTCGTTGAAAAGCTGAATTTCCTAAATTTTAAACATGTCAATGTTAGTTATGACTGTTGTCTCCGGTTTCCGCGGGCTTCCATCCAACTTTCGTTTATTGGGACTTCAAATGCTTTCTGTGTATGGTAACGTAAATTCTTCTATAATCACGTAGTGAACTCTGCGATTTGTTCCAATAATCTGTTTGTAACTTGCTTTTATTTCCTCAGACACTAACCTTCGTGATATGACGGCCTCCGTCACGTCGCCTTCGGGACAGAAAACAGCATGTGAAATAGTTCCCGTAGACGCGGATCACTACAATATCAAGTTCGTCCCACAGGAGATGGGAGAGCATCTGGTGACTGTAAAGCACCGAGGAATCAATATAGCAGGTGAGCCCACTCCGGTTATGGATATCATTTTATGATGCGGCGTCCCCAATTCATCTTAGTTCTGAATGCTGTTGGCTGAAACTCCATTAAACCTTCATATTTTTTAACCGTTTTGTGGACCGATTTTCAATGTCTTCACTTATGAGAATGTATGAGTTTGAGGATGCATTGAGTTTGAGTTGCAGGTACATAATGCCAAGTTCTTGTGCGTCATCCGTCACACGAAATTGAACTGGTTTTCACAGTTCATTACAGACATCAGTCGTTCCCTAGGGGTAGATGATCTCGTTTTTAATTATTACCCTGTGTCACGTTAGTGCAGTTACCTTGGTTCGCGCAACGGTCCGGGGTTAGTATAGGAAGAAACTATTGATGACCTAGGAGTTTCAGTTTTTACAACCATTAACCATTCACGTTCGTGCGCCGGTTTTGTTTTCTGCCTTCAGATTGCCCATTTGGATAAAAGAGCAGAAGGAAGGTAGGAACGTTGAGAGCAGTCGAAAAGAAGATAGATAATCCTCAGGTTGCGAAGGCAATCAGTAGATGTACGAGCACCACTGTTTGCGACACTCAGTGTCTCTAACCACCGGGGGTTACTAGTCTAGTTGTCTCAGCTCGCTTGTACGAACAAAGTGTCCACAAGAAAAGCTGATTCTCCTTCTGTTGTGATGGATAAGGTTATGTATTGGCTATTTTTATAATCGTTTCACCAAAAAGGTGTTCAACCCTTGACGTAATCAGCACTTATGGACGTTATTAACCTGTTAACTTCACGTTTCGATGCTCCGGTATTGTTTTCTGTCTATTGGATACCCATCTGGTAATTCCAAAAACAATTGTGTAGTTGAAATGTTGAGAGTTTTACCATGATCAAAGTGAGTGAAAGCTAGGTGGGTCACAGAAATAGATAGGAGCATAAGCGTAACTGTTTGCGACAATTATCCAAATCAATTACTGTTTCCGGTATTCTTTCAGACCAATATGAAGCTTCTTGACCGACCCATTGTATCGTGTTTTCTAATTGATGCGCTCTTGCATCCACTCGTTATTCTCCTAACACCACTCTATATGAAATCCCCATCTTCCTCTTGGATTTGCTTCGATATTTTAATTTACATTTTGCTCTTTTATCCAAATGGGTAACCAAAAGACAGCAACCAAAACCGGCGCACGAAATTGCATGGTTAATGGTTGTAAAAACTGAACTGAACTGAATTGATGCTCACAATTGTTTGCAATTTCATTTACGCCAAGCGTCATAGTTGTTGATATTGATTTTTTTCTACTTTTCACCCATTGCTCCGACTTGTTCCTCAGGGTCGTTTTTGGGATTCGTTCTGTCTCTGATTATTTTTTGATTATTCTTTAACTTTGTTCCGCCCACTCCCTCTTCACCTTACACAGGTAGTCCATTCCAATTCACCGTCGGTCCTATCACGGATGGGGTCGCGAATAAAGTACGTGCTATCGGTCCCGGGTTGCAGCAAGGTCTCACTCATGAAAATAACGAGTTCACAATCTACACACGAGAGGCAGGGGCAGGAACACTGGCCATTGCGATTGAAGGTCCAAGCAAAGCAGATATTGAATGCGAGGTGTGTTTATGAACATCGACCGCCTCCATTTCTAATTTTTTTGGAAGCATGTGATTTTATTGGAATAAATTAACTTGATTTTCGCGAGAGCGAATGGTAAACCAATCCGCATTAGCTGTCTTAGGTTAAAAGTTTGATTTAAAGGACGTCAAACTATTTGAAGAAAGGAGGAGATCTGACTCAATTCCAATTCCAGCTCAGGTTTCAGCCTATAAGTCTCTCCGCCTTTTCTCATACTCACTCCTTTCTATGTATGCAGTTTCTCCACTAACTGAGGCTTCACTACATAC